TTCTGGTGTATATCTAACAGATGTCTGACCAAATACTCATGGAAAATAAGAATTATCAGACGTGTATGCCCGAAATCGGACATAATTCGATCAGACATATCGGATAAGTAAATAAATAAAATTCTCCAGACATCTGTACGAAACCTGTAAAACTTGTCGAAATAGTCAACTTTTTACTCCGACTTGTCTGATATCAGAAATTGTCTGGCAAATGTGCTAGCTGGGAAGCTTGGTACTTCATATGTATGTGCGCCTGGTATTGGGAAATAAAAATATATCTTTGTACAAATAAAAATTTAGTTCGTTACATAAAATTGACCCGCAAGTTTCCTTCAAAAACATGCAGTTGGTTTTAAAAAACATTGACTGAATATCTAAAGCTGCTAGGTAGTTTTGGTCATACATAGGTGATGCTTTACCAAATTGTTGCAGTGATAGAAAAGCAGAAGCAAAACGACTATTATCTCCTATAAAGATTTTCTTCTAGAGCCAAGGCATATTTTTTCAGTGTAGTACTGAATGAACAAAAGTGTTTGCATTCAACCAAAATTTACAATCACGTTGATTGCGAATGCTTTTGTTACATTCACATTCTATACAGAATGAAACTCTACGATTCAATAACACATTACGTTTGTTTTTGTTTCAAAATAATTTAAGCCACTCAGGAATGAGTTGTTTTTTTTATACAACCAAAAAATTAAAATTTTGAAACGAATGCCAAGTAAATGCAGATCCTACTGATTCAATCATTTGACAGCTCTGGTTCGAAATATAAAAAGTTATTTGAAGCATTTTTTAGCTTACCAACTTCCCCCAAAACTGTTCTACATATGTCATCAACGACATCTATTTTATTATCGAATTTTAAAAGTTGGCATTGGATTAAAATTTTCTCTTTGTCGCTTTCTTTGCACAAGTTAAGAAAACGGTTTAAAACTGTTAAAAACGTAGAATTTGCGCTTTGGATCAATCACAATGTAATCACATGAACACACAATACTTAAAGCTGCGTTGAGTGAACGACAATGAAATTTTGAATGTACGTTGCACGGTGTCATGCACAAAATGTTTTGTAACGCATAAAAATGTTCAGAATTTTTATATTGTAATTGGAAAGGTGGGATAAGGTCATAATCAGTGTTGCCACTGACGAAAAAAAATATTTACCATCCACTTGAAAAAAATCTACCAAATCTGGGGAATATCTACCAATAACTTTTTTAAAATTATTTTAATAAAAACTATAGTTTTGTTATTTTTTATTTATTTTAATTAAAACTGTAGATTTTTTTTAATTTTTCTTTAGTTAATTCAATAAGAAAACTCTTTTTAAGAACTTTTTATTTAACTAGTTATACGGTATTTGAGTCATATTATTGGCATATTCTCAGTTTCCTTCAACCAAAAGCGGAAGTGATGAAACTAAAGGCAACAGTGAAACTTCCTTATTTAAAAAACTTCAACACGAGTTGTTATAGACAAATACATTGACTAAAAAAAGTGATTTTTTTTTAATATTCGCACTATTTTTCGAGTAAAATTTTTTTATTGCTTTAACTAAATCCAAAAAAATCGAGGATTCAAACTATATACAACATATAAAAAAATTCCAAAAATTTTCGTCTAAATTTCGAATTTTTTACTCTGAATTTTTAGAACAATTTAAGGTTTGGAGTTTTGAAGCAAATACTATTTGAGTGTAGCCAACAATGTGCTGCTTAAAATTCCCGTTGATTTTTTATTTTTTTTCCATTGATAAAAATGGCGTTGATTATTTTTGCGAACAATCATAGTTACATACCTGTCAAATTTTTCTTTATATTTAAATAATCATTTAAAATATTTAGGCAATCAAAAGCTCCTCGGGATTCCAGTAAAATTAGTTTTGAATGGAGCGCGATATGTTCGCCTTATATCGATATACATTTATGCGTATTTAAGTATATAAAAACATGCAAAGAAATTTATAATATATTTAAAGATAAATACGAAAAATAAATCGGGAACAGAAAGTTCATAAAAAATCTACCAAAATGAGAAAAAATTTACCTTTTTACCAACCCAAACTTTTTCTACCAATTTTGGTAACAATTTACCAAAGTGGCAACCCTGGTCATAATGGCTGAGTGCAGTGCTGCAGGAGCTGGCGGGGCGCGGCGCTGGTGGAGCGGACAAATGTGCACGCGCTAAGTTATGACTCGCAAAATTAAAACTTTTATAGGTACATATTTATATATGTATGTATATTTATTTTCCAATCTATATACATTAGACTGCATCACTCCCCATACAAAAAAAAATCGGTACTATTTTTCCATTGGAATTATAAAATCTATTATATTTTAAGACGTCCACCAAAATATTTCGAAAAAATATTAAGATTTAAGTGAGCTGAACCAATTTCAAAATACCTCCAAAAATAGAGTTTTTTATGAATAAAAATAGTTTCTTAAATTTTATTTTTATTTTTTTAATGTGAACGGAATCGTAATGATGAGATTTTTGATGCTGTTTTTTAACTTGTCTCAAAGATTAGTATAAGAAAAACTTTAATAACTGAGCCTAAACTCTTGTGATTTAGACTTAAGAGGTGTCGGTGGTTGCTAAAAAACTCATTCAAAGGATGAAAGAGAAAGGTAGGATGGACGAACGTCATTCAAAGTTGAATTAAGATGCGTTGGTATTTGAAAAAAAAAATTGGGACACGAATGATTTTTTTTTGACAGAAATAAAAACAGTGTGAAAATACCTTTCTACTGAGATCCCATAAGTCTAAATCAGAATAGTTTTGGCCCAGTTATTTAAGTTTTTCGTGAATCAGTCTTTAAAAAAAAAAAACAGCATCAAAAATCTCATTATTACGGTTCCGTTGAAAAGATTTTTAAATATTTTTATGCAGATTTTTTAAGCCTAATCTGTTTTGTCATCTGAGGGGACTTTTTTCAAAAAGTTCTTTAAGAAACTAT